AGCACGGTAGTAGATATGACAGAAACCAAAACCTAAAAAATAGGGTAAGGCAAGATAAAGCCAAACCTCAAAAAAATAAGGTAAGGTAAAGCAAAGAAAGTCAAGAGCAAAGACACGGTCAACATCCGTGACCATAACAGAAACACACCAGCAAAGGCATAAGCAACAATAACAATGTCCCCAGCAAGAGACAACAAAACTAATAGCAGCAAGAGCAACACAAGGCATTGGCACCAGCAAGAGCAATATAAGGCATTGGCACCAGCAAGACAAGGCAGGGCAAACAACTGTGGAAGCAACAACAACGGAGACAACTTCTCTTCACTCCCCCTGGGCAAACAACTGTGGCAACAGCAATAACAGAGACAACTTCTCTTCACTCCCTCTCTCCCTTGAAGAGAATAGGTCGTTAGAACAATAAGAAAAGTGGCACTTAAGAAACAGATGTGGACTGATGCTCAAATGTAGAAGAATCAGCCATGACAGATAGGTAGCTGAATTGCAGAGGAATAGATAAGCAGCAGTGTCACTCCCCCTCAAATCCGACGATGTATGAGAGTTGAGATTTGGAGAAAGTAACACCAAAATAAATAGAGAGTAAGAAAACACAGATGTTTCTGGGCAGGAAGTGAAACACATTATCAAATGGGAAAAAGGGCCATATAGGTGTGCACAGAGAGAGAGAGAGAGGACCAGAGCGGCTGTGCAAAGGGAACATCGGCAGTGTAGCTCGGCAGGATAGAGAGAGACAAAGGCCAGCTAGGAGAAGGCTCGGCGAGCGGTGACAAGGCTCGCGGAGGTTTGAGATGGCTCGGTGAGCAGTGACGAGGCTCACAAAGGAAAGAGATCAGGTAATCAATGGTTAAAGGGCGTGTTGCCCATATGGTATACATTTAAAAGAGAGGCTCAGCTGTGAGTGCAAGAGACTTGGCTCAATCTGATTTTAAAAGAAAGCAAGCTCCTAGAGAGATGAAGAGTACGAGAAAAAAGACAGCAGCATGCATAGGTAGAGAAAAAGAAAGGTAATGACTCAACATAAACACGGTAAGGACAGAGATAAGAGTAAAATTGCAGAAAGGTGCGGCTATGGCTAAGGCAGAAGAAATATATGTTGATTATTAAGGAAAAGAGAAACGGGGATTTACAACAAGGTGAAGACCCATAATGGGTTAGGAATAAGGAACGCCAACGACTCTCAATTTGTCAGAGGATCTCAAAGATTAGCAACGACTCTCAAGGAGACCGCAAACACAGGTCACAAGAAAAACTAGGCTATGATACCATGTCAAACAAAGTATGACAAATATTCAGTTATGCTAAGATACACTCATATTATTATTATTCTCTAATATGGAGGCATTTATACAAGTACAAAGATGTGTTAATCCTAATAAAATAGGAAATATATCTAAATTGCAATAGAAAATAAATATAAATTATAATAGGAAATAAATTTCAATTATAATATGACTAGATAAATGGTAAGTAACTAAAATCCTAACATAGTAAGGAACCAAAATCCTAACTAAGTAAGGACTCGCCAACATAATTCAATCATTTATATATAAAGTTTAGGGTTTTGTACTTGATAAAGGAGTAGGGTGTAACTTTGTGCCAAAAACGAATGTCGAATATAAAATCTCAGAAGGGGTTAATTTCCCTTAAAAAAAAGGGGATATACATAGAAAGGGTAAATTAGGTTGTGTAGATTTGGAGGAAACTGTGAGTCATTTTTCTTCGTGAGTGGTTTTAAAGATTGAGTGGTCAATTTAAGGTGGGGTTGGGGTCGTTACAAGGCACAGAGCAGTGACCAGTCCTCGAAGAAGGAACAAAAGAGATTTGTGTATCACGAGTCCATAGCATCCATACACAAAGGGCAGATTATAAGATATGCATAAGCCCCTGGACCCCTTTCCAAATGGTCGAGCTATTCACATGCATCATCAAATAAAAGTGAATATCCAAAACTGGTCCTGGTCCTGGATAAGATCTCATCACCAATTTGTTTGTGCAATTGCAATATTGCAATCCACAGAGAGAGAGAGAGAGAGAGAGAGAGAGAGAGAGAATGTTGGAATTGAAGTATAATTAAAAGAGCATATCGAGTGGGCAGAGTAAGCTGACGAAAATGGAATCACTTTGTATAAAAAGAAGTGTCTGAATATGAAAGAATAAGAATATAAAAGATAATTCCTTCATGCGTATAAGATTGGCGGAAGAAAGAATATGAAACTATGGAAGGAGACACAAGTAGTGATAAAATGACGGCCGGGTGGAGTTGAGAGCTAGCTAAGCTTTATATGATTTCTTTTCATGCATGGCCTTTAATCATTTCAGTCTTAATTAGTGTAATGACAGCTGACAAGTTGATGCCATATTATAATTAGTGAGCACATGACAAAACCAAGGGCTGCGTCTCTGGATCCATTAGCCAACTCATCCCTATTCTCACACTTGCAATTTAAGGTCTAGTTTAAGACTAGCTAAGCTTCGATTGAATTATTATTTTGGATGGGACAAGACTTGGATCAAACTGAATTTGAATGACGTATGCTAGAGTATTTTATCTGTTATTTAGTATAATATATAATTAAGATTCAACTATTTGTTATTTCAAACTGTGACTTATAAATAAAGAGAAACGACTCGTTTGAAAAAGTATTCTTACCTGAACGAGTTATATATCCGTTAGATCATTTCACGTACCTAACAACTCAAGCAGCATTGGAATACTTGTATAATTAAAGATATTTGCTCCACGCACACCTAACAATTTTGGTCGTATATATACTGTATGAGTTTGAAATTGGATAAATATGATCATGCGCGTAATTATAATATTATATCCACCGGAGGATGGACAAAAAGAAAATCATATAAAAAAAGGTATTCAAGGATATACAATTTGTTAGTTTTTTGACATGTATAAGTTTCATTATTCTCTCATGGCAAGCCAAAGTTTTACATGCATCGATGCGACAAAGGAATGGTCATTGTCGAGGACAATGAGGTCGACCTTCTGTTTTCATATTGTATAGATATCTCCTCTCTCTCTCTCTCTCTCTCTCTCTCTCTCTAAAATAAAGATGACCAATCAACAAGCTAGATCCATGATCATACACATGTACTATATGAAACTTTTGGACCATCACTTTTTGCCAAATGGATTTTCCCTTAAGAAAGACAAAATTTACATCTTTTGATGCCATATATAATTACTTTATATACAACAACATTGTTGATAATGAAGATAGTAAATTTAAGAAAAGGGGATACATGTACAAAGTGGCAAATTTAAGAAAAGTTCAAGTAATTTTTTCCTAATTTAATTGTATTTATTTTTCCTTTTTAGAGGAGTTTTTGTTTTTGTCTCTTTTATTTATTTACTTTTACGTTTTCCCTAGCTATCAAGATTAACCCAATTTATATCTTTTCAAAGTAGGTTCAAATAAAATTATTTGAGGATCACTTGGGACTAGAATTGTCATATTCTTACTTGCAAAATATCACCCAAACTAAAAATTAAATTTCAAAACCAGAGCTGCACATTTTCGTAGTTGTTTAAGAAGTTATCAGGGTGTGTAAGAATGGATTTTTTTTTAAAGTCTAGACTGTGTTACCAATTGATTCATGTTATCAGTTCTTAAAAAAAATTGAGTCATGTTATAACATGTCAATGAACGTAGTTATTTAAACTATATCCTAAGTTTATGAAATGTCAATCATGTCATCCACGTATATTATAACATTTGAAATAGTAACATCATGTGGCAGTGTGACCTGCACACCTAAGAATTTTTGAAGAAAGATAGTATCTTAAAAATTATTTCTAATTTATAAGCATATGTGGTTAAGCGATTCTATTTGTACCATATTTACTGTATACCTCTTTATTAGAGAAGAGTCCCAAATACGATAGATGAGGTTCACTAATCCAATGTAGCAATGCAATTAGTAATATGGTACAAATAATATTACTGTAAGAGGTGAGTACTTGTGTTTTATTTTTTATTTCCTCTATATTATTTGTATATTGAATCTTTTACCAAAAGGCATTGCGCCAAAATAGTACTGCTCATGAAAGGAATGATTCATGGTAACAATAGAAGAAAGAAAACTAAAACTGTCCCCCCCTCCCCCAAAAAAAATGATTTGTTCATGATATGCGTGATATGATGATGATATATGGCGGCCCGTGATACACACACACATATATATATATATGTATATATATGAAGGATCTCTTTTAAAGTCCTTTATGAATTTTTTTAAAATAATCCAAACTATCTATTTTTAACTCTACATTCATAGATCATCTTTACAAAAAATTAGAGAAATCAAAAACTATTTTGATATCCAATTGTGTCATACAAAATCAATGAACACAGTTGTTGAAAAAAATACTAAAATTTCAATAATTCAATTGAGTAGTCAAATGATATTGGATTCAAGGTTTTTTTTTTTTTTTTTTTTTGGAGAGATG